GTACACCTCTATTCTCCAAAAGAGGGTACAAAACATGATACCTTAGGGCGCAGAAAGAAAAATGAAAACATTTCTTTACATTTACTTTACCTCATTATTTCTATTTTTGTACATAGAAACATATGTAATATATTAATACAGTGGCACATACACACATGCATATGCACATATAATTTATAAATCAAATATGTTAAGAGGGCTTGCTGACCAAAAAATAATTAACTAGAAGTGATTGTTAAATATGTTTAGTGGCCTGTGTAATATATAAATACTGTTCTTCCAGGCAATATCCATTACCAGACTTTTTGGCTAAATTGGGTTCACTATTCCCAAAGTGTTCCCACTTCTATATACTCCAACAAAGGAGAATGTCGACCTCCTACTAAGAGATTCCAAACCATAGGTACGAATTTGGCTATTTCCTCATTTTATGACCATGACTGATCTCCCTTTGCCACAGATGCCACTATGGGCTGGCACACTCCTAACACTGAATTCCTTTCAAAGAATTTGCCTGAGAGCCAGACCATCAAAAGGGTATAAAGCAGATAAAACTTAAGTATCCTACACTCAAGTTTTCTGTTTTCAAAATTAAGCTTCCATTCACTTGACCATATTCTCAAATTCTTGCTTATTCTGTCCACCTATGGAATCCCATTCACATGTAGCTGTTATGTTTTAAAATGCTCTGAAAATGTCATGTCCTATACTATATAAGTAATTGATACGGCATAAGATACTCCACCTGGAATATTTTTAAAGCCAATTTTTTTTTAAAATTCCAAACTGGGACTATCTAATGACAGGATCAGACATAAACATGAAAGTAATTAGAAGGAACTTTTCAAAGGCAGAAAGCCCTCCTATCCCTCTTCAAATAACAGCCCCAGTCCCTGGGCATGTTCAGTCCAGTGATCTAGACAGCACTGGAAGGAGTCAGCAGAAGATTCAAAAGTCTTACGGTACCATCACTTAACAATTGCTGAATGTATAGCTTTTATCTACCAAGATCCAAAATTTGCAACACAGTGTTGAAATCTAGACAAAAGTACAAAATTATGATGTAAGGGGCAGTGAATAGGTGCAGCTGCCACAGTTTAGGAGGCAAGGTTACACCTGGCAGCCAATACTCCCAGTGATTACACGTCACACATGCCTGGCCAGCATTCTGTCCCACATCTTTGGGAAAGTGTCCTGATTTCACTTATCAGGGTGTGGTGTTGCTACCACCTCCAGATATGGAAACAAAAACTAGGCTTGGAAATCCATCCCCCTGGCAGCAGGGACTAACTCAGGGAGGAGGTTGTGCACAAAGACAGACCTCTAGATTCACATCTATGCCTTTGGCTGGAACTATTAAGGTAAAATGACTTTTTATACTAAAATTTGGAAAGATGATAAGAAGATAAATCTGGAATTACCTAGATTCATCTGAGAAGAAAGCCAGACTAGATGAAACAATAACAAAAATTGAAAGAAGGGACAGAAGACTGAGGAGAAAAAAAGAACAAAGAGGAGGTAGTGTTTGCATTCAACGTCTAGATCAAACCATCCCTGAAGTCTTGACAATTCTGGACTAAACCTAATTGCTGATTCTCAACGGTCAATCAATCTTTACTTTTGCCTAAGCCAGTATGACATGCCCTCAAATACCAAAGGTTGTTTTGTGACGCTTTAAAAAATATCAGCAGTTCTAAAAAAAGATAATCAAGTTTCATCTTAAGATCTGTAGTTCAAATAACCTATAGGTTAAGTATGCTTTATCTAAAATGGTACAGATCATAAGTGTTTTGGAATTTTAAATGTCTTTAGATTTTGGAATACTTGCATATACATAAGGAGATATCTTGTAGATGGGACTGAAGTCTAAGTATGAAATTCACTTATGTTTCATATACCCCTTATACCTGTACCTGAAGATAATTTTATATGTTATTTTCAGTACACCTATGTTTTGACTATGATATAACACATTAAGTCAAGAGTAGCTTTTTCCACTTGTAGCATCATGTCAATGCTCAAAGTTTTAGAGAAGTTTAGATTAAGGATGTTCAATCTGTAGTACCCATTTTCTTATTTACTCCATTTTTATTTTTGGTATACTGGTACACTGCTACCCACATTTCCCAGTTTTTCAGGCGCTAAGCTGGCAACATGTCTAAGTTTTACCAATGAGATTTAAACAGAAACGTCATGAGGTTTGTTTAGAATCTTTTATCATAATGTCTCCTGTAATCTGGTTGCTCTGGCTGGAACTCCATTTGCCATTGTGGACCATGAAGATGATGCACAGACTTAAGGGTGAGGCTGGTACCATTCAGTGGAGCTAATTCCCTGGGCAGAGATATTTACATGATTTATTCATATTATAAATTTCCAAGTGCACAGATAAAATAAACATTTATTCAAGTAAATTTGGTGTCTCCTAACAAATACTCTACCTCATAAAGTCAAACAACATGCTTGAATCATCCAGTGACAGAGAACTTCTCCACATTTTCAGATTTTCAAAATCAGGATAATCTTACAATCAGTCAATCTATTTAATACACTTTTCTCCTTCCCTAAGCAGCTTCCTGACAATAACAGTGAACAGGACTTTGGGAAATGCATTTGACACACAAATAATATAACATCCAGGCTAATCATGTTACTTCAAAAGCTTAACTGAGGTATACGTTGATATTCGGGACAAAAGGGAGATGAGACAAATTCACTCAATATAAAAGCAGAGGAAGAAATTGATTTACTTAGTACTCAGGCAAAAATATCTAGACTGTAATAGTTAGGAAAATAATCCCTGCATCCTCAACGCCTGGGTTGAAATCCTAACTCTATCATTTCATGAGTATATGACTTGGGCAGGAGCTTTTTTTTTTTTTAATCTGCCTAAATTTTGGCTTTCTCAATTACAAAATGGGAATGGAAATAGTATCTCAGTCATAAAGAAGTTGTAAGAATTAATACAGGTAAGATACTTAGAACAGATTCCAGGAACAATATACATAATGGGTAAAAGTCAATGTCTTAATTCCTGAAATGGCATCATCTGAACATTCTAGTGTTTTAAAACTAGTGAAAACTGACACATTATTTTCAAAAAAGATACAACTCTAGAATGCTGCTTTCTGCTGCAGGATTCTTTTGGGTTTCTAGAAGAAAATGCAAAACAACAATTAATTCTCAGTGTGTGCCCTCCTCAAAGACAAGGGACAAAAATGTTAATGGCAACAGCTCTGTGCTCAAGTTTTATCCAAGATGTTTGCTAAGTATTTCATTCTTAGCAACGAAATAAGAGAAGCTTATAAGAGAAGCACGTGGCAAATATCTTAACTAATGAGAAAAAGAAACTCAAAATTAAGAATTAATTTGAGTTTAGATTCTGGTTTGGCATTAATACTGTCTATACACTGGATACGAATGGTGAGTTTGATCTGGAGGTGGTGCCATCCATTAACTTGCTTAAAATCAGTACTAAAAAAAATTAGTTACAGAGTATATCCTTCCTGTAGGGCATGAATCACAAGTAACAGACATCATCTCCTCAACTATTATTGATTTATAAGGCAGAAATTTATAAAAATTCTAGCACAATGACATTTTTAAATACATAATTATATATACTTTATTCATAAAATAGCATTTTAGAGATAAGTAAGCTGTTTTAATGACACACTGAATGAAAAATCTGAAGTCTCTGTAAAAACAAACCTTAGCAAAAACGGAAGTATAAGAAACCAGAAATCATTTTTAAAAAGACCTTTTACAAGATCTTTTAAAGATATATTAGCTAAAAATGATGAACTTTAATCCCATTTAAATTTATGGGAATTTTATTTTTAAGAATCAAATTCTAAAAATAGTTCTCTTAATTCTAGTATTTTTCCACTATTCTTGCTGTCTTTATAATACCTTCACAAGCTGCTGAACATAATGCTTCCCTGACTTAATCAAAACCTCTCTCATGACCCAGGAATGTTCAGTAAATAATTATTAAACTCCAGAGGTTGCTTTTGCATAAGTTGATTTGCTTGAATGCCTATTCACTTAGGGCCACAGCTCTTAGTATTGTTTTCAAATCTTATGGCCTTACAGTGAAAGTAAATGTTAAAGGGGGTAGGGGAACTGTTAACCACTTTGTATGTCTTCATTTTACTATTCCTTTGAAACTATAAATTTCAAACTTATTCTACATTTATATGGGTTATGCAGATGATTATGTCTGAATGTTTTGTTTTCTAAGAACCTATATATATATATATATATATATATATATATATGCAACTATATGCAAATGAGTTGTTTAGCAATGCAACTGTTACTATTGTACAGAGGGTGGGTGGGGAAGGGGTGGAATAAAACAGAGAAACCAAAAATCCAAAGTGTTTACAACGGGACAGTTTTGACAAATGTTTCTACAAAACATGCTGTTTTTCAGAAGAAAATTCTTTTTTATTTATAACAAAGCTGAGCTGCAGTCTACCTTGAAATCATAAATCAAGCTCTGCTCTAACTCAGATTTTTCAAGCAGCCAGGTTTTCTGTCTTTATTAATTTAAGATCAACATGCAATTTTAAATGAGAGGGCAAAGATAATAGGGTAACATTTCAACCCACTCCCCCAAATTCATTGTTACCCTTGTCATATTCAGCCACCAGAGGCTATGGCTGCAGCTGATTAAAGTCACAGTCATAAAGTGAAGGTCTAATATTTATAATTTCCAAACCTTCCCTTCCTTTGTCCTCTCCTTCAGAAAGAAAAAAAAAATGTCCCTGTTAAGTGTCCCAGCATTATTTTCAGAATAAAACTTCACTTACAGATATAAGCTTTCAAAGGAGCATGGCATGAACATCTGAAATCTAAGCGCCTCCATCTTTTTTCCTTTAAGGTGTTCTGCAAGCCCTTGGCGAAGAGTGAAAGTCAAAGTTAGTTCTGGCACTGGCTGTGTCACTAGGGGTGGCTCCTGATAAGGCCCTGGAAACTCCAATCCAAACACAGCTCCACGATAGAACGGTGCCTGGTGTCTGTCTCCAACAGCAGACCTGTTTAATCCAGTACCTACAGTACCTGCCGGACAAAAACGCTGGCTCACACTGCAAAGGGGGCTAACTCCAGGACCTGGGCGGCCAGAAACCCACCCAGCAGCCAGCTGAACACCTGGGGATGCTGATTTAGCCTTCCCTGTCTCAGTCACTCGTTCAGACTTGCAGGGGTTGCATGTTTTCAGAGAACTTGAAAGGGGAAGTACTTTCACATACTGGTGAGTTTTTAACACTTAATGGACTCAGACTTTAGGAGAGAGGGTGTGGGGTTGCTACTGTCCCTTCTCATTTGGGAGATCTTGAGCATCAACTCATTATACACCTTTACTTTACATCTGTGCACACGCTTGATAATTGAGCATGCCCTGCTGCTGACAGACTGGAGATCCAGCATTCCTCACCCTTAGACCCCAAGAATATAAAGGAGGGCTGTCCTGGGGAAAGCAAAACACAAGCTGCTTTTAACTGTGAGGACTATCTTTCAGGGCACACACATCTTTAGGCTATACATCTGTGTATTCTTAGACTGTCATCCAATTCAATTCTGAATGCACTGGTATAAAAGAAAAAAACAGCAAAAAACAGGTTCTCACACACAAAAAAACTTTAAAGTTCAGATATAAAAACCATCATTATCAAATATTTATACAGCTCCTTCAGACTCAGCACACCAAAAGTGCCTTATAGAGTTATGAAAATATGTGTGTTTCTCCCTACACACAATTCAAAGGTCAGAACAAGGACATCTGACACTGCCTAGCTGTGCACTCTGGGCAATTTACTTCACCTTTCTGGATCTATGAGTCTATCTCCAAACTAAATGGATGGAAAACAGTGCAGTCTCTAGAAACTTTAATCAAACATGAATTCCATAAATTAATGAAATTATCTTTTTAAAAATTACCCTCCAATAATAGGAAATACGCAGCCAGGGTCCCAGCCAAATAAATCCTTTTCATTCTTTGTCCATTCACTCATTCTTTTGTTCAATAAATATGTACAGAACACCTACTATGTCCCCAAACACTTTTTCTTAAGAAAAACAGTCCAGTGAGAAACATATTAAATAATCACCTATGTCCCTAATTATACATGAGATAACTGCTACAGGAGGTAAAAAACTTAAAATGCAAATGTCAGGAAGGCTTTTAATCAGGCAGGGACTTCAGCTGAGACTTGAATGGGGAAAGTAATGGACAGTCTTGCAGGCAGTAGCAGCAGCACATGAAAAAAACCTGAGGTGGGAAGCTAGCAGCAAGATCCACTGTGCCTTGAGGACAGACAGGGGAAGCATGCTACCAATGAGTCCACAACAGCACCCAGGGCCAGACCATGCAGGATCTGGTAGGCCAGGGAAAGGTCATTAATTTCTGTGCCAAAAGGATTAAGAAACCATTGAGAGGTTGTAAATGGGAGAGATGAGCTCAGGTTTGAGATTTTTAGAAAGGACTCTGGTTGCTATGTTGATAACCAATTAGAAGACAGACAGGATTAACTATAAAATGGTCCTGGTAGGAGGTGATGATATTTCATGAGGATTGAGGAGAAGGTGCAAACCAGAGAGAAGTTGATAAAAGTGGAAGATGATTACTGGCAAAACTAATGGTCAGTAAGCAGAAGAGAGGGGAATGACATACAGGTCCTTAGTGCAATACTTGTATTCATCAACAGTCATAGAGCACTTTCACATGTCAGGTACGGTGCTGAGTACCAGAGCAAACAAGACTAAGATGTTCCACCATTTCTCTTAGCCTGTCCCTTCACCCCTCCTCTGCCTCCAGCATGGTACATATTAGAATACAGGTTCTAATGTCAACATATCCACATTTCAATCCCACCATTTACTGATCCTTGGACCTTGTGCAAATTTACTAAACTTTCTGTACCCCAGTTTCTTCATGTGACAAAGGGGAAAAGGTAAGTGACTATCCCAGAGGTTACTGTTAGAACTGAATGAGATAATATGTATGTGTAACATGTTCAGAATAGTCTCTGACACATAGTAAACTCTCAACAAAAAAAAGCTCATATGATTATGACTGCAGTTAGCACTATCCCTAACCCATAAATGCTGACCCATGTAGAGAAACTAGACAGCATCAAACAAAACAACAAGAAAAAGAATCACTGAGAATGTGAAGAATCAAGGTGAGAAGAGAGGACTTAAGAGTACTGTATCAAGATCTTTGAGAGATTACATTATAAAAGATTAAGCCAGACTCTCTCCCACCTTGGGCACTACTTGAAGCTGCATGAAGTTTCAAACACTCAAGTAAGTTTTATAACTGAAACCATGATTTTATAAGCTTATACAATCTGTGCCCTCATAGGCTGTCAAAGGTTCACCATGGAACCAGTAGTGTCAGCCATGTGGCACAGCATGGCACCAAATGCTCTGTTGGCATGTTCAGCCAATGACACTGCCTGGCTTTTTATTCTGGACAATCCACTACCCTAAGAAAGATTTCCATTGCTTGTTTACATAAATGTTTAAATAAATTACTTTTTAGGGACATGTGTTCAATTTATTAGTGGTACTTTAGAAAGACTGAGATGACCTTAATGTTCTCAAGGACCCTTTGGACACAGCAATGACATATTCACTAGGAAACTGACTGAATTTTGACTTGTGTACATCTGTCACTGTCTACAAAGCTCATGAATGTATATATTTCCTAAATATCAAAACATTACTTCACAAATCACTTACCCAAATATTTCTTCTGAATGCCAGTAACCATGTCTGTTTGTTTAACCATTGTATCTGTAGTAGAATAAGCAGTCCAGGGTTTAATGTTTAATAAATATCTTTAAAATGAATCAATCTACATGTAAGCAACTCTATTGTGCACATTCATACTACTAGACAGATATATATCCTGAGTTTGTATACATATATGTAGATGCATATGAATAAACGTGCACACACATGCATGTGTCCCTTCACACACACACACACACACACACACACACACACACCCTAAATCTAAACACAAACTAAGAATTGGTAAATGGGGGGTTAAATAATATTAAAAATCCAAATACAGAAAGCAGAATACAAATATTAAATGTACTCCAATATCTTTCAAATCTTAATTTCTTGTCCGAAATTAGAGCAAATCAAACAAAAGTCATCAGAATTCTTACTGACCCTTTAAAAGTTGAACTTTAAGCTAAAATAGAATTTTTAAAAATCAACTTTTCCTAGGTAAGCTAAACTGGGCTTTAACATCTTTTCGGAAGGAAAAATTCAATCATTTTTTTGAAGGAGTTAAAAAGGAGATAAGTTTTTCTTATTATCCCGTCCAAAATGAAGCTGAAAAAAAGTAAAGTTGCCATCTTATCGCAGCTCAGAATTATTATTTTATTGGGTATTAAATATTTTATTACCTCTGCTACCAAAATATAGAATTTTCTTAGCTTTTCTTATGACAGTCATTGTTTTTGGTAAACTCCTAGCTCTACTCATAGTTAACACCGGAGCACTGGCTGTGTGCCAGGCACTCTACTGACTCCTTAGAAAGCTTCACTCCATCTTAGAATACTGTGTTCTGATCCTGCCCAATGGCTCCCTAACCTGTATTCTTATCCAAATGACCCGAGGAGCTTCTCCTTACCCATCCCCTTAAAACAAAAAAAGGAAATTCTAAAAGAATCAGTGTCAAAGATCTAAATTCAGACAAAAGACTCTTCAGGGATACAAGCTGGAATTCTGTATCATATAAAAGATATCCTAAGAGTCTAGTGTGGAAACCAACTAAAATGTAATATATTATAATACACAAGCATACATAATGTACTCTCTGTAAATTCTCTCTTTTTGAGCAGCAGGAAAATACTCAAGAATGTGAACTCCATCTATTTGTCGAACAAAGAAGCTACCTGTACAGTTCAACTCTTTAAGGTATCCATTTGGAATCACTGTGGACATGCTTTGAATGATTCATGGATACCTCATTATGAGGTAAATGAAGAGGACCAGGAAAGTGGTGATGGATCCCAAACTGCATTCTCAACAGCAACAAGCACACCTCTTCTCCACACACACCATTATGCTCACATTGTGAGCATAAAGTGAGATGCTACCAAAAGGCCCTTCGTATCAATTACTGATTTGCCCTGAATGAGGCACCCACTCGTCTCAGAGCTGTGAGGAAGGCAAAGGCAGAGGAGAGGCAATAGGCTCTACTTCCTGGGGCTCACATCCAGGAGACCCAGATTCACCTGCGCACAGCACAGTGAGAGGAGGAGGGGAGGTCAGAGCCCAGAGCCCTCCTCCCCACCTCCTCTGCAGTTGCAGTTCTGTAGTCTTACATGTTCTTCAGGCAGGACTTTCCTGACCATCCTTCCCAAATCAGAACATACATTTCTAGTTTTTATTCTCTCACGAAGTGTGCCTTTCTTTTATAGCACTTAACCCCACATGCAATCATTTTATTTGCTTATTTTATGATTTTGTCTTTGGAAGGCAGGGTCCTTTCTCATTATTTTATTCTCAGTTCCTGGCATATAGTAAGTGCTCAATAAATATTTTTTGCATGACAGGAGGGATGTTAGGAAGAATGAATGCATGGGTAGCAAAAAAAGAAAGATTGAGGAAGGGTCTCGGGTATATCACTTAAGGATGGCATTTAACTAGGAAAGTCAATGGACATAAATGGGTGGCACAATTGTATACTTTTCATGTGGAAGCTTTTAAGTAGCTGAGCACAACTGAGTTGCATGAACAAAGTATTTGGGTACAAAGTTACAAGGAACTTATCCAGCAGTTCTAATTTGAAACCATCCAACCATGACTAAAGGAAATTTTTAATGTCTATCTATCTGCAGAAATAACTGTTCGGTACCACTTACTCATGTTTATCTCTCTCATCTGTTTCTATTTTTTTCTCTTATATGAACAGATCTCTCTGTCACAATGATATCAGGGCATCCTCTGAAAGACAGCTCATTCTATCTGGCACCCAGAGTAGTCCTCCAAGGCTCACAAGCTAATACAACAGAAGACGAAGATGACCCCAGGGAAACTTGATTTAGAAGTATAACAACAGTATTAAAGAACTTAAAGATACTTATGCAAATATCCAGAGAGAAAATTAAGTTTTTTCAAAACCTTTTAGAAAAACCTATCCTGAGAATAAAAATTGAAATCTACAAGGAGTTACCTCAAATTCTGTCTGAAGTGAATTTTTATGCAATTAATGAAGGCAGAAATATATAACATATTAGCTTGGCTTTTTCCTTTAACATAATAATCAGTTCAATGGATTAATCCCCTCACTTGAGCTCTTTGATATTGTCTCTCAGGGTTCACTTCAAAAGAAATACGTGTTCCCATATTAAAGGTGATTCAGAGGTCTTGAATTGTTATTAATAAAAGGCAACTGGTGTCGTAATAAGCAGACTACGATCTGCAGTATAAGCCAAGTAAGTGCTTGAGACACAGGAAAGTTGGAGAGGGAAACACTGAAGAGATTATGCTACTCTGATAATCTCTTTCAATGAGAAATTCAGGGAAAAAATGATTTACTTTCTTTATCAATGTAAATAAACACCAAAAGATAAGTCTGTCACCAGTGTGGGAGTCAATGTTACTTGTAAAATGACCTTACAATGAATAAAATCTTCTACTTCAGAACCTTAAAATCATGGACCTCTCTTTTACTGACAGACACTTTAGAAAAATAATAATAAAAATTAAAGAACAAATAAGAATACAAGACATTTGCCTATCTTTTAATAGTATTCAGAATTGAAAGAAAAAGTGCATCATCATCATTACAATCCAGAACTCCAGTTCCTTCTTCCAAACGGAAGCCAAGATATTATAACATTTTAAAGTGAATGTTCAGCAACCAGTAATAGCCTGGGTGGGTCACCTCAGCTAGGGTCCTGGCTTCTAAGGATGGTGAATCTTTCTTTCCCCTGTTCTCATCTCTAACATTAATGGCAAAAACAAACAAACAAACAAACAAACAAACAAACAAACAAAGTCCTGTATGGTCCAAGGAAGAGATGGAAAAAAAGGGATGGAGAAAAGGAAAAAGATGATACTTTGTCAGCTAAATTTTCTAGTCTATTTATGTACAGACATTCATTCACCAAATAATGAAGAGACCTGAAAATTGATTTTGGTCCCTTAAGATCTTAACAGAGGTGAAAAATTCCTATACTCTAGCGACCGCACAGCCATGGTAACATCATGTATGTGGTGATGCTGGTGTAAAAACACCTACTGCACTTCCAGTCATATAAAAGAACAGCATGTACATTTATGCACAGTCTGTGACACTTGATAGTGATAATAAACAATTATGTCACTGGTTTATTATCCATCATACCATACTTTTTAACCATTATTTTAGAATGTCCTCTTCCTCATAAAAAGAATCTTACTACAAAACAGTATGTCACATTACACCAACAGGAGTCTCAAACATCTTGTGTGTAGCTCTTCTCTTGATGGTGATGAGACCACCTCTGGTATGTCTCACCTAGATCTAAAGAAGTGGGTTGTGTGGTGGTCACACAATGATGAAATTGTCCAAGGACACATTTCTCAGAATATACCCTCATTGTTAAGCTATGCTTAACTGTCTTTGTATTCCAAAACGTGAGCTAAAGGTAGACAGGGATTGCCTCTTGAAGATCACGATGTCACTGTGGAAGGTGGTGTGAAAACATTGTCTTACACAAGATGTGCTAAGGATTTGGGGTACAGGCGTCAATCCATGAGCAGAAAACCTCTGAGCCTCTATTTTATAAATGCGTGAGTAACTGTTTTGCTCTCCAGATATAAACTGCTCCCCTTTTCCAACTGGGTATGCATATTGGGTAAGTCATTTGAGTCTCAGATCTGCATGGATAACATGGGGTATTAATATTACCGATTTCAGAGATCCAAATGATGAAAAAACAAGGTAATAGCTGAGAAGTACTTAGCACAGTGCTTGAAAAATATCACCCAATCCATGTTATGCAAGAAACAAAGACTCTATTTCAGAACATTTTTAGGTAATACAAAGTCAGCCTTTATTGTTGCAAAGAGCTTTAAGTTCTAGAGCAAACAAAACTTCTTATCTGGAGACAACTAATGTTAGGAAGTTTTTAAAACTTGATAACTAAAGAAGTAGTACAGATTGAATATATATGAAAATTCCAAAAAAGTCTAGATAAATTTGTGAAAATATATTAATAATGAATAATTAAGTTTCAAATAATGGTGGTTACTCATAACTTCTGATGGTGAACGATGCCTCTCAACTATACTTTTCAGTGGCTGCCTTAGCTGCAAACAAAATTCTAGCACAAGGAACCATCTGTTCTGGCTCATTTTGTCAACTATGTTTTTAATTTTTATATCTACCATATACATAAACATATATGAGGGTCAAGCAAGAAGTCATGTATTTAAATAAGCAAAACTGGAACAAATCAAACCTCTTTGAGCTCAGTAATTCACCTTATGCTAAATCTGCATTAATGAAGTCTTCCCAAATGCTTGAAGCATCTCAAGCTCACTCTTATACTAATGACATCCTGTTTCAGACAGGCTGAGCAAACAGGGTTTAAAAGGAGAAAAATAATATTTGCAGAAAAACTCATCCTGTGTGTTGATTAAATTCAATCAATCATAATAAACTCAATACACATTAGCTCTCTGTATCTAATTCACACACTAGAGAGTCATGCCTATAATCAAAGTGTATATTTATATCTATAGTAAAAGTTAAAATTATCAATATTTTAAATCAATAGCCTATGTGATTTTAAATTATACTGACATGAAGTGATAAAAAGAAAAATTGAATCTTTGCTTTAAAGAGTAAGTTCTGTGTCCTTAAAAATATAATACCTAGCAATGCTGCCTAATTTTCATGTTAACATTTACTGAGTATAAAGTAACTTCTAGATATTATAGGCCAGAGTGTTAACACAGATAGAATAAGCATTCCAATTCAAGCTTATCTACTTGTAATTTCAAAACATAATGGCTTATCTTAAAAGTTGTGAACAAAATCATAATAAAAGAAGAATTGAAATGTTCTTGTTAATATTCATTCAATATAAATATGTATTGAGTATCTATTGTGGCATAGGGACTGTTCAATATGGTTAACATACATCCATGATATATAATGGATCTCAGATTCTCTTTTTTCTTTTTCTTTTTTAAGCAGTACTAATGATTGGATGTAGGGCCTTCTCACTGAGCTACAACCTTTAGTGAGACAGGGTTCCACTAAAGCACTAAGTTGCCCAGGCTGAGCTCAAACTTGCGATCCCTCCACCTCGGCCTCACAGAGTACTGGGATTACATGCATTAGTCACCACGTCTGGCTGGATCTCAGATTCTTAGAAGAAATGTTTTGGAGTAACTCTGAATGCTCAAATCATTTGTTAATTTAAATAGACAACTTAGAAATTGCATAGATTTGTAATTGTTAAACACAACCCACAATGATATATTCTTATTAAAAAAGGATGCTTGGTTCCTAATACTAGGTCAAGGATAACTGCATTTTCATTACTTAGTGTGTCAACAGGAAATTTAGAAATTTGAAAAAACAATGAGATCATGTCTCTGCCTCATTTTAAAAAGGAAGCAGGAGGACAGAAGAGACAAAGAAGATCCATCATATTGACACATTGATAATTGTACCTCATATTTGCATATCACACTTCACAGTTATTTAATTTATTTATTTAAATAAAGAAACTGAGGAGCAAAAAGTGAGGTAACTTCCTCCAAGTGAAGATATTAATAAGCCACTGATCTGGAGTTTGCAAGTCCAAAACCCACAATCTTCTTAGTATGGCTGCCTGATTTAAGTTTATGTAAGCTACCCAACAATCACAAGAGCAAAGTGATTCTAAAATTAGAACCTTGTTGTCTCTTTCCTGCCTGGACCCCACACCCCATACTACATTCTGAATTCCATGAAGGCATGAACTGTCTCAGTCTAGTTCACTTCATTCTTGGTTAACCATGTACAACTCCACAGAGAAGGCATTCAATAATGATTTATCAATGAGTTAAGTGATGAGTTAATTGACCCTGGAGCTTTTTATAGTCACCTCTGACCATGATCTGACATTGAAAAACAAAAACAAATAGAATAAAACCAATTTCCTTGAATATTTATACCTAGCATGAGTTAAATCAATGACATCTACCTAAAAAGAAAGAATGTTTGTCCTTAAATAACTTAACCTGGTTAGAAAAGACATGAAATAAATGTGAAATTATAAGGAAGGAAAAATACAATCCAACATATCAGCACAATTTATACTTGTCAATGGGAGCAGTAAGAAGATTCTCAGAAAACAATTACTCAAAAAGGGCTTTCTAGGGGAAAGAAGGTCTTCAGAATTTTAGGGGAAAATGACAGGTTTCCTCTGGCAAAGACAGTGAATTTTGAGCAGTTTCCCAAAGTGTAGGATTCAAGATGATTTCAAATCACGACACCCAGACTCCACATTAAATAACCATGGAGTCACATAGTGAAAAAGGCCCTTTCACATTTCTTTCATCTCAGGAAAAAGTCTCTGATGCTGGTAAGTTTTTAATCTCTCAACACTTGCCCTTTGTTTAAAAAAAGAAAAAGGCTCAGACCTCTGAATCTGGCTGCTCCAGACAATATATACCTCACAAGAATCTAACCATTTTCTTTCAATTTCATTATACTCATTCTATAGTGGATTTCAATTAGTGGTTTCCATGGGTTATAACATTTCCTTTAAAATATGTTTAATAGTTTAAGTTTTATGTACTATCTGGGAGCAAAATTAATAAAGTTTATATGAAAATGTCTAAAATTTGGGAAAACACTAATTGAGATAATGTGTCAGAATCCTTCAATGGAAACAAGATTAAACAGGGCTCAGAAATAGTGGCTTACTGAAATGTTGTGAGATGCTAACAGTTATAAAGAATTTCAGTCTGACAAAATAAAACCATGTAGAGGTCTGAAATCATAGTAAGAGGGCTGAACCCTAATCTCTCACTAGCTGTGCAAAATGAGCAACACTCTCAGATATGATTCCACACAGAAGAGGGGACCTGGCCAAAAAGGGCTGAGAATATCACAATGGAAGTGACATGCCACTTTTGTTGACAGTGCCTGTAAACATGCTATCCATCCAGAAAAGAAGGCAAGCCTGTTAGAATGAAATGTCAGGCATGCCTCAGGTTGATGTTTCAACCTTTGAAAACTTCTCCAGGTCTGTGAAAGTCACTGGTGCCTGAGTCACCTTCTGTGGCACAAATTATGCCAATAGTACAGTTTTGTTTCTGATTGATTTCTTCTAATTTCACGATGAAATAGCAGAAGAGATTCCCACTGTAGATTTTTCACCCAGTCATTTATTACTTTCATACACTAGATGGAGCCAACTCTATAATGCTTTGGAATTTGTATCCAGATTTTGTGTTTTACTTGAAAAGAAAATATCCATATGCAGAGTTACAGGAAAGGTCTGCACTACCTAAATATATTTTAATTCAAATGGGTTAAAATTTTATTTTAAAGGTCAAAAAGTC